GGACGAATAGCAAAATAGTGCTGCTGCAGATGAAGCCAGTGGAAAGCATACATACTGAGTGATTCCATTTATATACAATTCTGAAAAATGCAAGTCAGTCTAGGTCCCTGAGGATGGGAAGGTGGGGAGGTGCAAGAAGAGCAGGAAGGAAATGTTATAAAGGAATACCAAGGCACAATAGCCTCCTTGCTTTCTTCTATAGATACAGGCACCTTCCAACCCCAGGACCTTTTTATCTACTGTTCCCCCTCCATGAAATACTCTTCCTCATCAGCCACATGTTTCACTCCTTCACTTCTTTTTAGATCTCTGTTGAAATATCACCCTATCAGGAACCATGCATTTTCCCTGAGCACACAGCATCTTCATCACCACCTCAGCGCCAGGTAATCAGATGCTGTATCTTTCTACTCCACTTTATTTTTCTTTGTATTTACCATGCATGTGCATGTGTGTATCTATACATTGCTCTATCTATATGTATATGTACTTATACACACATGTTATGTATGTCTACCTCCCTACTAGATGGTAAGAACTCTGAGACCAGGATCTGCTCACTGCCATTTCCATCCAGCACCTAAAATGTTGCCTGGCATTTTGGAGGTATTCATTAAATATATATTGAATGAATGAGCCACCTTAAGAAGCATGCACTTTTATTATTTTTTTGTACTTGGAGGCTAAGGTCCTTGTCTCAAGTCACACAAACAACAATAAGTTTCAAAGTCATGTTGACTCCAAAATCCCAGTTCTATGGAGCATTTTTGCTCCATAGTGTCAGTCTGCTAGGTCTAGCAGACACAGAATCATAAAACATTGCAGCTAGAGCACTGACTGTGTGAGAATATAGATCAACTCATTCCTCCTGGAGAATGATCTGGCAATAATAATCAAATCTGAAACTAGCCCTCTTCAAGGAGCTTATTCTAATTAAAGAGCCAGGCAATGAAGGAAGAAAATGTTATGTATACAAGAATGCTGGTCACAGGATTGTTTATAATAGCAATGAAATTGGGACAAGAAAAACATGATCTTGAGTCAGGAAGTTAGGAAAGACAGTGCCCTATGTAATCAAGCTCTCTCAAAGGAGCAGGAGGCAAGAGTGTGGGAGTGTAGGGTCAGGGAGAGTGGCTATGAGGAAGAGCTGTTATGAAGCATGGGAGTGAAACTGCCCAGGGAGAAGTAAAAGGATCGAGAGATGGGGTGAAGGCCCAGCCGATGGCAATGAAAGCAGGGAGGCTCACAGCTCTGCAGTTTCTGTAGGAGTATTCTCATGCTTCCAGGAGACAGCAGGGTGAAGATTTGAACACTGGTTCCCTCGGGTAGTATAGTGGCAAGCATATTCAAGGAGGGAGAAAGTGGTAAGTGAGTGACTCAATCTCCCATGTGGCCAAGGAGGGAGAAAGAAGACAGAAGGCTGAGGGAAGATGCTGTGTCCTGGGGCCCTGGCCTGCTGTAGCATGGTGGCAGGGTATATTAGGAGCTCCTGAGGTGAAAGAATGGGATGCCAGATACATAGAAGGTATCAATGTCTAGGAATTTATCCTGTGAATACCTAGAGTGGTGTTCTAGGTATTCTGTAAAGTCCTAGAATGGGAAGGTCCCAAAAATTGATAGTGAAGAGTGTTAATTTGGACATACACAGGGCACTGAAATCTTTGGGATCATAATTGAGCTTGAGTGGACACTAGAAGGTTAACTGAGAACAAAATGGCTGAGAACACATCATCTGGATGGTAGCTTGTGCCAGTCCTTCTACTAATATCCTTTCACTTTATTTTCATAATATTCAAGGCATAGCTAGGAATAAATGGATGAAATGACTTGAAGAATTCAAGCTCACTGTCAAAGTGTTCAGGAGTTTATTTGGTCAGGATGCTAAACAGAGAGTAGAGTTATCAATGGAAGGACTGATTTTGAACATGTTAAAGTTGTGTTGGTGGGATGTTTAGATGGATAGTTTCATGGGCCCTTAGGGGTGTTGGGCTAGGGCTTCACAAAAATATTAGAGTTGAAATGCAGATTTTTATGTTAAAAGATCTAAGTTGATCAAAAACAGTGGGGGGAGGGAAATGCACTGGACTCTGGACTATGGTGATGGCATATGGGTGATTCAGTGATGGGAAGCCCATGGGGATTACAACTGGGATGGAAAAATGCACAAAATGATGTAAAAATAAACTATATTATTTTTTTAAAAAGCTTTAACTTGGTAAACAGAACAGAGAATGCAATAGCAAGGAGAAGGGAGTGTGCATTTGGTTAGTGGGGAACAAGAGGATTCAACAATTAACAAAATGTAAGCAGTATCTTGTGGGGAGCTGTAAAAATGGCTATAAATTCTTTGTAATTCTTCCCTTCAAGAGGCCAGTTTGTTTCTTTACCCCTTAAAACACGGTGGGCATTTTGAATTACCTTCGCCAACACAGAGTGGAGAACCAGAGTGCCAATTCCAAACCAGAATTTCGAGAGTCCTGGTAGCTTTTGTTGTCTCGCTGGGAACCCTCCAATCAGAATGTGAAGAAGACTGAACCAGCCTCTTGGAAAATGCGAGAACACCTGCAGCAAGGCCTCAGCTACCGCCAGCCTTCAGTGGAGGTGCAGGCAGATGAGCAAGTGCAGCAGAGAAAAGCTGAGCCTGGCTCGGACCCAGCGACTCCCAGCTGAAACGCTGACCCACATCCTGAACAGTGAGGGGTAAGAGCAGCCTACCTCTGGGGACCGAGACTGGGGATGGGAGGGGAAATCACGACTTTCACTTTTAATAACTGTGTATGACATGCCTGTGGTAGTCCTACACCTTTGTTGAAGGACTGTAATTTTTGGAATAATTCAATACTTATGTTTTAAAAACTAAGTACAAAGCAGGACATGGAAGTGGGCGGAATAGTCACAGTTCCAGAGGGTAGCCAGAGAAGCTGCCCCAGAATCATCTAAAGCTTTACACAAATACTGGGTCCACCTGGAGGTTCTGATACAGTGAGTTTGGACCAGGGCCAGCAACATTGTTTTCTTCACACAGTTCCCCAGGTGTTGGGGTTGTTGATGAAAGAAAAAGTTCTGAGGCTAGAACTCTAAGAAATGTCTTTATTTAGGAGTCTAAAAAGAAGAATAACTTTTTCAAGCTGAGCTTCTGTGTTAGGGTAGGGCTCCCAGGGACATTCACAACATTTACTGCTAAAACAGCAATGGGTTCCTCCCCTCGCTATATCTTGACAGAATGCTAGGTCCTATATATTCATTACTTTAAATATTCATAATACTTTCGTAGAGAGAGAAAAGTTCTAGGTTAGCTAGGTGGAGTCAGGATTCGACTCCAGGTTGTCTAATTCTAGAGTCTTGCTATTTCTGTGTTTGTTTTGGTAGGAAAGCTAGTTCAGTGACTATACAAAATAATCTCAATTTAAAATTTCCCTCCCCCATATGTATTAGGTCTTTGGCTGATGCTACCACTTATTCTACTACAAGCTAGACTGTGAGCTCAGCTGGGGTAAGGAATCATGGCTTTTTATTTCCTTATCTCCAGAGCCCAGCACAGTTTGCACTCAACGCATGTTGATTGAATAAGTGAAGGGATGAATGAACGTGTCTTTGGGATCTGAACACAAGCTTGTTATTTTAAGTTGAATACCCCAATAATTTTAGAGTTCCTCTCTATAAACAGCAGTGCTTTTCCAAAGGGCAGGTTGATTGGAATCGAGCAAAGTGAGCACATTACAAAAAGATGCAATGAAAGGCTGAGGAGGAAACAACCAAGTCAGATATTTTCCCCCAAAAGAAATCCAGAAAGGAGTGGAGCAGTTGCACCCCCACTTAAGCAGGGAGATAGGACACATTGAACAGGTTTACAGGCTGAGAATGGTCAGCCTAGAGGGGATGGTGACAACCAAGAAGAAATCAAGGCCAGGTGAGACCTACGGAGCTGAGGAGGGCTCCTGGGGAAACTAGTCCCAAGCAGGAGGGACACCTGTTACTGAAATCTGGGCAAACAAGATGCAGGAGGGTTGAGAGTGAAGGGAAGGACAGCGGCAGAAGGCAAGAACACAGGCAGGTTAACGAAGTTCCTTTTCCAGCCCTCACCAATAAGGGCCAAAGATCAGATAATTAAACTCCAGAATTCGACACGTGGAGATCGACACGTGGCTGCCAACTTCAGACAAAACCCTACTACCATCAGGATTTCATTTTCAGAAGAGGGGGGCACTTAACACACCGAAAAAAATGGGCTTCAGAAGACCTAAACACCGATCATTCTGCTCCGCTCCATGACCAACTCGTTCCGTTGACTTGCTCACTTCGCCGGGAAGGGAGAGACCTTCCTCCAGGACCAGCGCGCCGGGAAAGCGCCGCGCCAACCCGCCCACGCCCGCAGCGCTTTCCATCCCCGCCAGGCGAGCCGGCGCCTGGCTACCCCAGGGGCTCGCGATGCTTCCCGGCACCCCGACAGTCGACCTCCGACTGCCATCCCGCTTCTCTGAGTAGCCAGCGACTCGGGTCCCGGGCAGCGAACGGGGCCACTAGTCCTGGGCGGGGAGGGTAGCTGACGGCGGCGGGGGCAGTGCCAGGTGAGGCGCGGCCTGGGGCCGAGGGGCAGCCCTGCTCTCACCACCGACAGCGGGCCCGTCCTCGCCACGGTCTCTCCGAGCTCGAATTAAAGCTGGTCTGCACCACCCCGCAGAGGAGTAGGGTGGGGGTTGGACATGAGTGGTAGTTCGCGGGTCCCAGTGCCCCGGCGCCCTCCTTGAACAGCTCTGCCGGGGAAGTGTGAGGACACCCTCGCTTGGGTCCGGTTTGGGATATCTGTGGCTCTTGGTATTGGACGTCCCAGAAGCTCCAGGGTCCAAGTTTACTCTGAGGGGTCTGCAACCTCACGCTGGCCCTCACCCCGGGAGCGTGGGGGCTTCTCCCCTGGAGTGCGAGCGGCGGCTGGCACCCGGGCACCCACGCAGGGCCACCCGGAGGGGCCGGCGGAGCCTCTGCCCCAGGCGCCCCCTTACCTGTCGTAGCTCCAGCGGCTGTAGGATAGGGTTCGGTGGCTGCTGACTCCCTCCATCGCCGCCTCTCCGCTACACTCCGGGCTCCGCGGGCGGCGGCAGTGGCTACGCTGGGCTTCGGGCTTGCTCGCTGCGGGCCCCCGCGGGGCGCGGGCGGAGGACTGTACCATTCGCCCCCCGGGGGGTGACCCGCCCTCCCGCGCGCCAATGGCGAGGGAGTGAGAGCTGCTGGGCCCTGGCCCGCGGGGCCCCCTCCCCGGCGCTCGAGTCCCGCGGGCGCACGGCTGCTGCAGCCTAAATTGCTTATTTATTTATTTCCGAGGTGCGCTCCGCGTCGCCATGGCAACCGCTCCATCTTTTCCGGCGCCGCCGGGCGCCGCTGCTTTCAAACCTTCCCCAGACAGCTAAGAGGCTTTCCTCGCTTCTCCTTGCGTGGGAGTCCCAGATACACTCCGGGTTCCCGGGCCCCTCTGCACCCGTGCAGCTTTTCAATGTGAGACTTCATTCATTTCTCCCAGCGTCAATTACCCTCCCCGCCTCCCGCCTTCTGAGAACAGAAATGCTCAGCCCCCGAATTTCGAAGATTCCCGCCATCTTCCCCCCAAATTAGAAGTCATTTTTTAACCACCAGATTCCTCCCTCTTCTCGAACTATTGAGCTCCAGCGCCTTCCTTATCCTAGTGAAAGCCCGCCTCTCCCTCGCTCCTCCCCCTCTAGGTTCGGGCTATTTTAGCCCTTCCACACTAACCCCCTGAGTTTCAAAGCCAAAGCTCTGTAAACGTGGCCTCTTACAGGCCAACCTTTTGTTTATGTTCCTTTGCATTACTAAATCTCCTTTGGGAAAACTCTGTGTTGCCTCATCTAGGGTAGTGTCTATACTTGAACGAGGCGGTTCCCGAGAAAGCTATGGAAAGAAGGTCCCTCGGGGTGGGCTGGCACTGGGCGATCTAACTGGAGCTTACAGGTCGGCCCTTCCCACGGCTCCCTTCCCTCTCCCTACCTAAAGTTTCTGGCTTCGGGATTTACAGGTATAATCGTCTTGAAGAGGTCACAAGGGCTTAAGAAGGACCTTCCAGAGCCGCTACTGTGATGGAAGGGAGGTTGCCGCAGGGGAAGTTGCACAGACTTGTTGAGATCTGGGTGGAGGGGTGGACGAATGTCCCCTGGAGGTGGCCTGCAAGACCACTGGGTTTGAGCTACACTAATCCAAGGATCAGGGGCAACTCCTGCGCACCTAGACCTGCCTGTGAATCCCGTGGGTGACAGGCTTCAGCTGGCAGCACACCTGTGGCATCTTGCCCATGATTGTCCTGTAGATTTTTTTCATTGATAAATCTGACAACACTTAAATATTGAAATATCTACTAGATCAAGCACGCTCTCTGTTCTTTCTTGGAAACTGATAAACCTGGGTCCACCCTCAGCCAGATGGGCATAGAGCAGAGAAATGACTGCTCTTCTTAAAGCAGACGTGTTCTTTTGGCCTCAGACTCCAGTCAGCTTCCCTCACAATTAAAGCTTATGTTGCTTTGGAGTTTGCCACCCTGGGCCATACAGCCATGCCTGTAACCTGAATTTTCCCAACTGGCCCCCATTACTGCCCAAATGCCCAAATACTGGTGATTAGCTGGTATTTACCAGGGACTTGACAAAATACCAGCTAGCCAAGCAGTTGCTGTTTCTCTCTTTGGCAAGTACTTGACTGTGGCTAATCCTATGGCAAAGTGGTCTTCGCCAGCCACACAACCCAAACTCCTGGGGGAGCAGAGTGATGAATAAACACAACACCAGCACCACAACCCAGGGCCCATCATGGTAAAATGGTGAGACTAAACTGTGGGAGGAGATGAAAGGCTGCAGAGGGAAATCACCCCCTTTGCAAGATCAAGTTGAATGCTCTCCAGAATAAAATTCTGGGAGAAAGCACCCCTGGAGGCTTGGACCAGTACACTCCACACTGTGCCCTAAAGGTTCACCGTCTCCCTTTAGTTTCTGTTTTCACTGCTACACCAATTTTAATCCTAAGAGGCAATGCTCCCCCTTTAAAATGCTGGTCTTGGTAAATGCAACCCCCCCTGCATTGAATGAAGACTTCTTTAATTTCAGAAGGAAGGCAACAGGAAAATAAAACAAGAGAAGCACAAAACCAGGGTCCAGGATACTCTGATTCTAGAAGGTGGACTCTGCTACAGAATTTCTTCCCTGGACATCCTGACACTTGGAAGCCCATAGTCAAGGGGTGGAAATGACTGTTTCTCTTCTGAAAGGTGGGCCTCATCTGCAGATGACTGGAATGACCTCACCGAAATAAGGTGCCATCTCTGCTCCCACACTCATGGGGTGGCTGCCCAAATGAACAACTACATTATAAACTCACCCATCAACCTCCACCCCTCCTCTCACCCCAGATACACACAGTGACAGGAGGGTGGGTAGCCCTTTATCCTTCTCTGGGCCTTCAAGACTTTTTGTCGGTAAAGAAAGGGGTAGAGAGACCTAAGAAGTCAATAATAAGTCGTTTTTCTTAACACCCCTAATGCTGTTAAGGCAAGAACAGGCCTTTCTATTTCCCAGGCTAAGCCATCCATGGTTGAAAGTTCTGGGTTTCATCAAGTCAGTATGCACCAGGTATGGGCTACCTGGAAGCCTGAGCAAGGGGCCAAACAGGAATGGCAAAGCTCACCATGAGTAGGCAGGGGGCAAGATGAATGAATGTTCAACCATTAAGCTTACAAACAAACCATGCCTCTTAAGACTCATGGTAGAGACAATAATTTTCAAAACCACAACTTTTAAGAACAGTGCCAAGAGTGAGCTGTTTATGCAGGGAAACCATGTTGCTGATTAGGAGAAAAGGTTCTGACATTCAAGAAAGAATTTGGTAAAAATACTTGCCTATATGCTTTTCTGTTGTTGGTTTATTTTTTGCTCCTCTCACTACAGGGAGCAGAAGTAGAGACTTTCTATAAACTTACTTCAGGTGTGTTGGAAATGAAGGTCTCTGTTGCTCTCTGGAAGTACAAAACAGTTACCCACCCCACCCTACTCCCCAGTAACACCCAGGAATTAAGAAACAGGTGGTTGATCTTTTACATGACTTATCATGGGATCCAAGGAGGAGGGAGCCCTCAGTGCCAGTAGGGAGTAACCCGTTCAGTAGAGGGTCCCTTTCCCTTCTGATTGTCTCTTCCAGTCTCACTTGCGTCTAGTGAGAACTGGCCATTATGTACGGGTAGCTCTATACCGTATCTAATGGGCTAAGCTTGAACCACGTTTTCTAGATAATCCCTCCCACATGGTTGTTAACAGGGCCCCAGAGACCATCTGTGTGTGATTTGGATGGTGAAGCAGCAGGCTGTGTGTATATGGGAGTGTGTGTGCGTAGGGCACTTATGCACACGTGTGTCCTGAAGGCCTGAGGCAGCTCACAGGTGTGACTGCTGATCTGTGTTGATAGCACAGGACAGCGGTCAGGAAACCCCACCAGCTCCCCCCATGGATTCTGCTTAGATTTCTTCAAGATGGCTCCACCAGCTCTTCCAAATTCATAAGTTATAACTTCCTATAATAAGCTCCTTATCCTCTCCCATTCATAGGTGTTCTATATCTCGGACTGACCCCGGACTGAATCAAAATGTGGGCAGTAATTCAGAGGGACAGATTTAAGGATGGGCCCTGAAGTGGTTCTTGGTTATCCAGAATTGGATCTGTTGAGGTTTAAAATTATTAATGGCCCTATTTTCACGGGTAAAGGAGACCTGGTAGAACAGGGGACACACGGGCAAACCAGACACTCAATGATCATCTGTAGACATTAGTAATCAAGGCTACAGAAGTCACATTTTGGGGCAATCAACACTTTGTGAAAATAAAGAATATAATGGTGTTGATTGTTGGCTTCTATAGCTGCCTTGAGTGAAACTGTGATCCATTGTAGCTTCAGCTACAAACCCAAATCCAAAGACTAATCTGGGTGTTTGAATTATAATGCAAACTATATTCTTAACCTCCCAGAATCTTTTAAATAGACTGGGAAGAGGCAAGACCCTGAAAAATAAGATGAGGGCATAGGAGCAGATTTTAATGAAGTCAGGGGCCACAGACCTCTAAATTATACTGAGCTGCCTTTGCCAGTAGAAATAGCCTTTCTTCCCTTGGTATGAATATACTGTGTATATATTAAACTATATTTTTCCTTTTCACTTCCCATTTCTTTATCATCTAGTACAAGATGTATAAATGATAAACTTTCGTCTTAGTATTTGAGCTACAATATGTCAAAAGGGGAGTGACTGCTAGAAGGGCATACATATCCCCCAGAGGTGGACACAGGACCTCTCTTCAAAAGAGAAGATTCTGTGTCAATGCTGTTTGACACATAGTCGGGAAAGGGAGTTCAAATGTGTGTGTGCGGGAGGGAGTTCAAATGAGGGAGGTGGTCTAGGGTGGCCTGGGGGGAGTTGATAGGTTTAGATAGGGGAAAGTTCATCAGTCTGGGCGCAGACTCATTACTGAGGATGGAGTGTTCTGGTAAGGCACCTCAGAGGTCTAAGACAATTGCCATGATTGCCGCCTGCAGCGTGGTGATGATGAATTGCAGTGAGATGGTATAGTAGACCATGCTGGGGCTTCACTTACCTCCTGGATCCCCTTTCATGGCTCTATGTGTGCTCTGCCCCCTTCAACTTTTGCTAATAGCTTTGATGTATTTTTCCTTCTAAATTCCACCACCTGCATCTCTCCTTCAAAGGACTGCTTTCACATTGCTGAAGCCATATCACTTGCCTAAACTAAGAGTCATAGGTACCTAAGAACTTCCTGCTACCATGGTGATCCCAATCTAACGCCTGGCAGTTCAGGAAGGTATTTAGAGACAGCATCCTCATCTTAGGTATAGCCAAAATTGAGGTACTCCAGAGTCCTCTGGGAGGCAAGGACAGGAGTAGGTACAGGAGGACCCAAGCAATTAGAGGAACTGGAATCAGAATTTGGGGAGCGGCATCCCACCATGTGGAGGGTAGAGAAGTGACCTGCCTGGTTTCCTGTCTCTAAATGAAAATTGCAGCAGCAAGAGATGAACATGAGTGTGACCTCAGGCACAGTCCTACATAAGTTAAG